ATTTTTTGACCTCTTTAATATGTCTGATTCCAAATAACATTCTAAGGTACCAGGAATTAGGACTTCAACATATTAAGTCTGAGAAGACATAATTCAGCTCATGAAAGTTATGATTGCTCAAATGCTAAAAATTCTGTAGCTGTAATTTCAGGGAAAATAACATTCTGAGAATCTATGCCTCTTTTGACATGGCTTTTCTGTGGTGTTCTCTCTCTCTCTCTCTCTCTCTCTCTCTCTCTCTCTCTCTCTCTCTCTCTCTCTCTCTCTTGCTGTCTCTCTCATTCCTCTTTCATTCTCTTTCTACTTATTTCTCTACCCTCCCCCTCCCTCTTTCCCTCTTTCTTTTTTTCTGGTGCTGGGGCTTGAACTCGGGGCCTGGGCACTATCCCTGAGCTTCTTTGTGCTCAAGGCTAGCACTCTACCAGTTGAGCCACAGTGCCACTTCTGGATTTTTCTGAGTGGTTTATTGGAGACATGAGTCTCATGGACTTTCCTGAACAGGCTGGCTTCAAACTGAGATGCTCAGATCTCAGCTTCCTGAGTAGCTAGGATTATAGACATGAGCCACTGGCACCTAGCACTCTCTCCTTCTTTTTTTGTTTATACTTTTTATTGTAAAGATATGGTACAGAGGGGTTACAGTTATATAACTCTCTCCCTCTTGATGTCATCAAGTTCCTCTGCTGAATGCTCCTAACATATTTGTGAATGTTTTTTTTTAATTGTGAAAATACTGTACAGAGGGGTTACAAATACATGGGCAAGATAATGAGTACATTTCTTATCAAGCATTGTAGCCTCCTCCTTTGTTTCCCCTTCCCATCCCTTCCCATTCGCGTCCCTCCCCCTCCCCACCCAATCCTCCCTACACACACACCAAAGTTGTAAAGTTTGTTTTAGTCATAACGACTTCCACATCTCATTGTTGCACAACTTCTACATCTCATTGTTGCAATGGGTCCACCTGTATCCCTATTTAAACGATTTGTTTTTTCCCTTCCCCTCCACAAATTATACCGACATCAAATACAGTGAAAGCAGGGGTTATACAATGGGGAGGGACATACAAAGCAACAAAGAAATAATCTTATAAATGTATTAGAAACAATCTCATGAAAAAAAAACATTTGAATACATATCTTAGGGTTCATTTCCCTAACATCACCTTATCTAACCTTTTCTGCTTGACTCATACATATACTAGATATTGCAAATAAGGGAAACCATGGGACTTATGTTTCTTTGGGCCTGGCTTACTTCACTTAATATAATTTTTCCAAGCCTTTCTATTTTCTAACAAATGGGGCAATGTCATTCTTTCTGATGGAGGCATAGAATTCCATTTTGTATATATACCACATTTTCTTGATCCAGTGAATTGATTTCCTTTATTTTCCCACTGGATGGCCAGCACACGACAGTAGCATCTACCAGGACATGTTTAAGTTGTATCCTTTGGTCTCTGGACAAATTAACATTTTTTGAAGGAAGGAAAGAAGGTCAATTAATGGCACATAAACAACTGTAAAAAAAAAAAAAACCCTTTAGAACCTTATAACCCTTTGACATATTGGCCCAGAAAGCACCTTAGGGATCCATTCCCTTGCCTTGGGAAGGGAAGATTTATAGCATAAAGTTCATCGATAATTTCCTCAAGAGTTTGATGTCAATCTACCAAGTAAACTTTCTTCCCCATCAAGAAACAATTCCATAGTTATTTATGAGGTTTCCAGCTGCTGCACCGAAATGGGACTGTGTGTGGGTGGAAATGTTTGTTTTCCCAAACACTGGCATTAATCAAGCTGTGGGACAAATACTTAGTTAACATCAAGCACCGCCAAGAGTGGATTTGTCTGGCCTCAGAGACTCAGTGACCTGAATGCATGATCTCTCTTCAACAATACCAGAACCCCCTCTATAGATGCAATATTTACCTATTCATCCAACAAATATTGATCAATGAAACGATTATGAAGCAGAAGACACTGAGCTTCATACTTTGAATAGAAAGATGTGCCCTAGTGCCACACACTAGACACAAGGATGCTCGCTAATGAGGTATGATTTATTTACTTATTTGCTAACTCCATTCACCAAGTACTTATTATGGCAAGGTCTGGGAATACTGCATAGAAAACAAGGGAGCATCTGCCTGTATGATGTTTGCTTCCAGTTGAGGGAAGATAGTAATAAGTAGATAAACATCAGCTAATGAAAAAAAATAAAGCAGGATATAGGTTTTACAAAGTGCTAGAGGATTTGGATGATTTTGAGCAAGGAACTGGATAGTGTGCAAGAGTTATCAATGTAGAGATCTGGAGAAAAACTAGTCCCTGCAGAGGGAACGGCCAGGGCAAAGTTCCGTGACAAACCCCTTGCTAAGGAAGCAGGGAAGGAGAGCTACCTTCAATGGCAGAACAAGTTGTTGAAAGGGACAGAGAGCCCATGGAGCTTGCTTGGGAAGATGCCAGGAATCTACTTAGACGAACAGGTGAGAATTTGCCTTGCCACTGCCCAGAGAAAACTATGGGTGCTGTGGCTGTAAAGACCAGCGGGATTGCTGTTGCCATCTCTGTCTGTGGCTCTGCCCTAATCTTGGTTCTTCTAGTCATCACGAATGCTCTATGGTGCCCAAGGATGCTCGCATCCTCATCCCACAGTCTTGCATGGTAAAGAAAAGAACTTCATTCACTTCTACATCCTGAGTATCTCAGGCTCAACAGAATGTAGACTCTGTTGAATAAATGAAAACATTCATTTCTTACCTCTCTATCTACCCATCCATCTATGCACTTATCCATCTATCGATCCATCCATTTACCCACTCACACACATCCATCTCTATAGACATTCTTTGCTCCTTACCAAAATAAAAATTGTAAGCAGGATTTTCTTGAGCTACAACCCCAGGTCATAAGTTCCAACCCTCATCCATCTTTGTTCTTGTTTCATGTTCCTCTTCCCTATGAGACGGTGGTATTTCTGGTTGCTGAGCCTGCACTAAGATCTGTCAAGACAATATAGGCTTTCTCATCCAATAAGCTTCTAAATTATAAATGAGTTCACTGATTCTAAGTTTAGCATTAGATGTATTTGTCATATTCGTTCAAACGCCCCTTCTCAACCCAGAATGCCTTTTTCTGTGCCCAATGCCCTTCTGAACTGTACCCATATGGAGTATGGTACCAGGCACTCTAACAAACAAGGTGCTCAGCACAAGACAGTGCACAACAGGGAAGATGGACAGTGCAGATCCATGTTTCCTAGGGAAACTGAATATGTATTGGCTTGGGTAGATAAGCACCTGAAGAGAGGAGGAGTAAGGCACAGATTGTCCAGGAAGATTATGATGGTAAGGACTTGTTCATGGCTAAGTAGGCCTTTGGCTGGATGAATGAACATCTCAGGGGCCACAGCAACTGGTCTGGTGCTGATGGTACTCTGAGCTCCTACAGTCTTGGTCTTGGATTTTAGTAAGCAAACAAAACCAACTGTTCTTTTTTCAAAATCTTCTTATGTATTCACGAATCAAGCATTTCCCCCTAATTCTCTCCAACAATCTTTTCAATCATCCCCTTAGTAAAAAGACGCATTCTAGGAATACTGTCATCAAGTGAGGGGCTGTGAAGTTTGCAGAGCCGTCTCTCTTGTCCCTGCTCCTTCCATTTCCCTATTTTGTATCCACTGCTGAACATCCCTGATTCACATCACAATTTACCTTCCCTAACTCTCATCTGTCTATTTTCTTACTCAGGTAGGTCTTTGGTCTCCAAATTTTAAGATCCAAAACAATATTGTTTCTTCATTAACTGTTTTACTTTTTGGCATTGCTTTTCTCTTTTGAGTTGAAGCATCTATACAATAATATTTAAGGGAATGCCTCAATTTCCAGTAATCCTTTACAGGTATTGCTTATTTCCCACACATTAAGCAGAATGTAAGGTTGCAAGGGAATAACATGGATCCATCTCTGAAAAAAATACCTTAACTGTGTAGGACAACAGTGAGGAAGAGGTCCGATCACGCTCAGGGCTCATTGGTGCGTGTCTGTATTCACAGCATAAGAGCAGGGAACACAGCTCAGCCAACACCAACCACAGCAGCTGAAAGTGTTTCTGAATTCATCTCTGATAATATGTTGACACATTTTTCAGTTTTTTCTCACACATCATTAATAGTGCAGTCAAGCATTTAAAGCTGCTCTTAATATGTAAGTGTGATGAGCACATTACATGCTACTGCATTACAACACTATTGATATTGAAAACCACTGCACCTTTTTGTCCCTTGCAGATTATAAGATTTTCTCCTATTTCACTTCATTTTTTTTCAAGATAGAATCTTGCTCAGACTGTCCTCCAATTTGGATCTTCCTGACTCAGTCAGCCGAGTGAATAATTATAGATATGCATCAATATGCGTGGTCATTTTTAAAACAAAACAAACTAACTAATTTACCACTTATGAGTACCTTGCTCATATCACCAACCAATGTGGCAGGAAGTAAGAGAGATGTTTTTTCCACTTCTGAGTAAGAATACAAAGAAGCCAGACACTAGCAATGGCTCATGCTATAATCTTAGCTACTCGGAAGGATGAGATCTGAGGATCACGGTTTGAAACCAGCAAAGACAAAAAAGTCAGAAAGACTCTTATCATCAATTAAGTAGTAAAAAGCTAGAACTGCTGGCATGGCTCAATTGGTAGAATGCCAGCCTTGAGGAAAAAAGACAAGCAAGAGCAGGAAGCCATGAATTCAAGCCCCAATATAAATACACACACACACACACATGCACACACACACACACACACACACACACACACACACACACACACACACACACACGAATACATGAGTAGAAGTAAATTTATACAAGGGTTATAATTTCCAGCAAAAGAACAGAGAAGGGCTAACAGACTTAAGAAGAAGATCTGTTTTAATGAACCAATCCAAAGAGCAAAGGTGTCAGCAGCCTGTGAGGATTTTAAAGTCATAGTACCTTTTAATCCACATGTTGGCTCCTCTGTTTCTGCAACTCTCTGCCTCTGCCTCCTGTACACGACATGTAGCTGGTACCCTTCCTCGGCCGGCGGATGCTTTCTAACAGGCTCAATGAAGAAGTCTCCATGTGGGAGGTGGAAAATGCCCGTCTGTAAGTTTATTCAATAAGAAAGTTTATATTAATCAACTCTATGCAATGAAAATGAGTTAATTAAAATGTTATACAGATTCTCTCTGGAAATCCTAAAGCCAGTGCTTTCAGAGTCTGCAAATAACTTTGATGAAATGGCTGTTATCAACTCAATACTGAGATCCTTGAAGGACAACCAATCATTCCAAGAAGGTGAGATATCATCACACTCAAATCTTAGATCCAAGTGGTGCAGAAGACAGATATGGGCCTCCACTTGGGAATATAATCACTCACTCTTCAATGGACGATGGGAATGAGAGATGGACAGCCACAAAAGGCTTCCTTCCATTTGTATTCCCCCACAAGGTAAGCCTTACCAGTGTGCACATGGAAATCACCTATGCTACTTTAATATTTCTCAATAGCTGGAGGAGACCCAGAAGAGTTGGCAACTAGTAAAAGGAGAGGAAGCAGGGGACCTGCAGCTGGCCCCAGGACCCTAAGTATGTCAAGAAGGCAAGAAGCCAGGAGAGTTGGGTTGGGGAAGTTTCCAGCTGAGCATTTCCAACACATCCATCGAGAGCTTCGTACATCTGGTACCCAGGTGGTCCTGGTTTATTGGTCTCTTTTTAGCTATCAGGAGCCAGGTCATGCTGGAAGAAATTGCCTCTGATTTGTTGCCAAAGATGTGCTAACTCCACAATTTGCTTGAAACAAGCTGCCCCAAATCTCACTTTCCTCTGTTACCAATTCTGGATTGGGATCAAAGGAAGCATTTTCCATGCCAGCCTTCCCTGTAATCTGCTCACTTCTCTTACTCCTTTAAAGCAATGAAACTGAGGAAAAACTTGGGATTCACCAAGGAATTTTATTCTGTTCAGAAGAGCCTAGGTAGAGCCTCCAGCTGGAGCACAAAGATAACAATTTTGCCTGTCGTCACCACTGTTGCTTTCTCTTCTTCCTGTCAGTATCTGCTCAGCTCAGTCAGCACATCACCAACTCTCTTTTGGAAATCAACTCACCTACACATTTTCACTAAGTTATAAACCTTTGAAAGCTTTCCAAGGCTATCTCCTTAAAATTGTTGTAAATAAGTTTTATTTTGTAGCAGCACACACATACAGAGTGATGTATAGATCCTAACTGTAGGATAGATCCGCACAGATCCTTCATAAAGGGAGTTCCACATGCATAGGAGGAGCCTTACTAGTAAAAAAAGAGATTCTCTGTCTCCTCCCCCACCTCACCCCTGTCAATAACATCTCCCTAGGGGAACTTCTCCTGACTTGGAATACCAAGAAATTCATTTCAAGCCTATGCTATTCCAAACCACAGCCTCAATTGGATATTGGCAGGATAAGGAAAGAATAACACAAAGACCCTCATGGCAGAATCAACTCCAAGAAAATCACCTGCCAACTCCAATTTTCTAATTCCAGCTCTCTCTCTCTCCACAGCTCCAAAAGTAACGATTTTGACTGTTAGGTTTATGGACATCACCAGTGAGCAGGCAGTGAGTGGGAATCCTCCTTCATCCTCCATGGAGACCCATTTCCCATTTCACACAAAGCAGGGCTGGCAGATGCCACATGGAGTTATGGAGAGCCAGTGGTAACTGATTCAGTGGACCCTGAGAAGAAGCGGGATTAATGCTCCTCCTCTCTGGTAGAGACTGAGACCTCCAGCCATGCTCTGGGGTTACTAAGGAAATCATGCCCTGGGAGGTCAATTTTCAGGGTACCTCTCAGGAAGAATCAAGCCTAGTTTCTGAACTAGTATTTCTGCAAGTGTGCTATGGCTGCATTCTGCAGTTGATTTAATTGCCAAGGCTCTAAGTCAATCATGGACAGCATCTCCTAGCCTCATCTTTTTGCTATGTTAAGGAGAATCTACAACACAGTTTGTTTTCCTACAGAGGAAAAAGCCAGACTTTGGAGACAGACCTGAGTTCAACTCTCAGCTCCAACATTAACAAGCAATATAGCTTTCCACAAGCCATTTGGTCTCTCTCTGAGCTCCAAGTCTTCATCTGTGAAAAGATGATGAGAACATATTTCCCCCGCAGTGGACTTACACTAGAAAGTGAATGAATGAATATATAAAATTCACTCTACACTGATGCTGGTACCAGTGAATGTTTTTCTGGACTTTCTCACTTGATGGCTTATTTCCTGTGATGAACTCAATCATTTTCTCCTTTTGCAGTGTGGTTAGCACACAAATAGTCTTGGGGTCTAGAAGAAAATCTGCTCATTTAAGGACTTTTTTATTAACTGTTTTTTTTTTACTTGATCATATTTGGAACTTATTTTAAGTACTTATTCTGTTACAATTTCCTAAATGTCCTCTCTAACTGTTGGCTTTCAGAAGAAAGACAACACCATGGCTAGAAGGGCAGCTTTTCAGGCTATTAAAAAGAGGACATTTAGAAAGTGAAGATGCAATCACAAAGAGAAGAACACATTTGGATCAGAGTTCTCTACTTTGGGTGGAGAGACGACCGGAAACACAGGTGCCTAAGAGTTTTGTCAAGACTCAGTGAATCTGGCGAGCATCCAGGCTTGTGACACAGGTAACCTATGCATCATGCTTTGCAAATGCTGTACCATTCCATCACGTGATGCTGGATTATTTTCTCTCCCTTCCTCCCAATTGGCCTAACATGAAAGATGTCAGGAATTACTGGTAATCGCCCAATTAAGCCTTTAGTTTACCTCAGTCACAAGAATTGTCAACTTTGACCATTGTTGATTATAGGTTCTAAAGAACATCCCTCTGAATTTGAGTGCTACAGAAAATGTCCATAGCATCTTGAAGGATCAAGACAATTAAAAAGTACCATCTCAAAAGTTTATAAACATTCCACTAAGTAGAAACCCTAGTTGGAGAACTATTTTGGACTTGGAGTTTAAAATACAGTGAAATCATCTTCTTTCAAAGAGAAAATGGGAAAAAAATAGGAAAGGGAAAGAAAACAGCAACAATCTCGTGACAGAAAGGCTGAAGGACACTCCCAAACTATACCCTGAAATTAAGGAGGGACTTTCATTACATCTCAATCGGCATTCCTAGGTGAGCCAACAGAGTTGGAGAGCATTGGTTAAGAGACACTGTAGCACCCAAAGCACTCTGCAGAACTTCTCTCTGACAATGCCCTCAGGAACAGGTGTGAGAGCCCTGTGCCTAGACAGAAGCATCACCTTACCATTGGTTTTTAGTCTTGATATAAGGTCATTTTTGCTTTCCTTTTCTTCTCCCAATAATCTATTGGAAGTTTTCTCCTGTTCAGCATTTCTGTCTTCACTCATGTTTACCATATCTCACCAAATAATGAGGAACCCAATAAAAAGAAAGGGGAATAAATTGCTAGCACACCCAGGGAATATGTTATTAGAGAGACAATGGGAAAAAGCTGGCCTGGAGAAGTAAAAGCACGTTCCCCATAGGTAGCAGAGAGCCATTATGGTGGATTTAGCTTTGTTTCCATGATGCCTTGTCTCACAAAGTCAGAGATCTGCAAGGAGCAAATTATTATTGTTTTCCTTGTAGGAAGATAGTCCTAACCACCAGAAGAAAAGATAAGAGACAAGTTGAGTCAGTACCTTCTTAAAGAAGATGGTAAGATCATCCACTTGAGGGCGGCAGGAAAGGCATTTGGGACATAGTTCTGTGGCCTGGAAAAAGGAGCCAACCTTGCATGGAGCTAGGTGGAAGCATCAGCTGATTGTGAGCGACTGAGAAGCAAGGCAAGAGGAAGGAGAGAAAAGCAGTTTTGCTCGAGTAAGAGGCAGTCAGGAGCAGGAATACTAATGTTCGCAAAGCAAGCCTGGGGCCGCAGGTTGGATTTAGTCCTGCTCTCAAACCTACATAGCAAAGTGACCATGTCAATGAGTTAGAGATGGAGAGATGGACCTGCTTGTCAGTGTTTAGTGACAACAGAGTGCTTTTATAAGAGAAAAGCAGGAGAATCAGAGCGAGTCATAGGAGACAGAATGACAGAAGAGTTTGCAGTGATATAGGAAGGGACCATGAGCCAAGGGATACAGGTAACCTCTAGAAAATCAACGAAAGAGGAAAACAGATTTCCCCCACACCCCTGAAACCTCCAGAAGGAATGTTACCCTGGATTTTCTTCTTCAGCCTCTAGAGCTATAAGAGAATACCTTTTTTGTTGTTTTGGTTGTTGGTCTTGGGGCTTTAACTTGGAGCCTGGACACTGTCCCTGAACTCTATTGTTCAAAGTTAGTACTCTACCACTTTGAGCCACAGCACCAGTTCTGGTTTTCTGATGGCTAATTGGAGATAAGAGTCTCACAGACTCTCCTGCCTGGGCTGGCTTTGAACCACAATCCTCAGATCTCAGCCTCCTCAGTAGCTAGGTTTACAGGTGTGAGCCATCAGTGCTCGGCAAGAAAATAGTTTTATAGTTATAGTTTTGTATTATATTGAGCCACAAAGCTTGTACTAATTTGTTCCTAACACATCCAGGAGTGGACATGGGAATGAGTCACCAAAATGAACTCAAAGGAAGAACAGCCAAGAAGGTTACAGGACCATGTGACAGGGTGTTAGCTGTGACTTCACAAAAAACATACACAACCCCAGTGCACAACATTTTAATAAACAGTACTCCCACTTTCTTCTGCATGAAAGGCATTCTTTTATTCTATTTTATTTTAAATTTGCCTCCACTAAATTAATGGATTGCAATTTACAGATGCAAAAACACTGATATGGTCAGAGAACCTGGGTCTTAGGGGTAAATCTAGCTCTGAACTCTTCTCTTGCTCCCAGCTGCCTTCCTGTGTCGTGGGGGTCAGACATGGGGATGTACACTTGTCACGGTTGTCAAGAACAAATGGCACATCACCAGGAAACATTCATTGCAATTCCTGGCATAGATATTATTCAGAAACAGTGCCAAGAAATTGCTATGGCAAAAATTTGGTCTAATACAAAGGACTTGCCTCTTGGTGGGGAAGTGTAGCATTTCTGAAAAGCTCATCTCTAAAACCA